CCCCAAAACCCCAAAACCCCAAAACCCCAAAACCCCTTTCAATATTTAATATATTGAGACACAGCAATCTAATAGCTTCGTCAAGAAGCATCCTGTGAAAGCAAACCAATCGAGCATGACATAATTCTAGAGATTTTAGAACCCTAAAGTATCTGTTTTAGCTGTCCTTTAGGGATGAATAGGATTTTTTATTAGAAATTTAGGGACTTTTGGAATAAGAATGTGCATAAAGTGTTTTTATACCAAATACTTTCACTACATCATGACATGGAGTAGATTATAATAACTAACCGCTGATATTTTCTCGTTAATGAAAATTCTTACTCATTTGTTCACCATGAAGCATTGTCAAGCATCTGAGAACAAGATGTTTTACAATGTAAAATGATTTATTGCATAATTACTAAATACAGAATTCGATGCTGGGGCTTTGCTATGCTTCCGAATCAAATTCTCTAAACTTGCTCTGAGAGTCAACTTTTTGTTCATAGTTCATCGGCTATGGCTTGAGGGTGTCTGAGAAGGCTTCCTAGATTTCAATTAAGTTTTAAATAATTCTACTGACTAAATTTTCACCAAATGACGGTTGGAAAAATCAGAGTCTTTTTAGCACAATAAGCCAGTTTCAATTAGGGTTACAAAGCAAGTTAACGCCATTAGTGCCTCATTAAGGATGAATCCTTCTCTCTATCAAGCATATTTAATGAATTTCATCGATTAAATACTTACATGTAAGTGACCTGTTGTTTGTTTAATTCTCTCTTCACATTTCCCAAAGATTTGATAGTTTCATTATAAGTCTTGTTGAGACATTTGCTCGAATCAAAATTCCTGGAATTCATCTTCATCTCCTTCTCAAAGTTTTTCTTCAATAAGTGGAGATCTCTGTTTGACTCCTGAGTCCTCTTTGAAGGTTTTGGCTTGCTGTGAGAATATCTTCTTTGTGCTAACTCAGCTTGAGGATAACTGTCAATTGTTGTGTTTGCAGGCTTCTTACAAGGATTTGGTTTTCTGCAAGGATTCGGCTTCCTAATATTAAAGAGAAATCCTACTTATTTTCTTTGCAAATTTTGAATTGTTTTGAACGGATTTATTGAACGATAAAAAGAACCACTTTGATCAAGTCCTTCAGCAAAATCTTTATAAAAATCTTCACGGAATTCTTTTTTTGGAGGTTTTATCTTATTTTTGCTTTGCCTTCGGTCGAGGGACATCAATAGTATTATAAGCAGCTTTTTCCTCTTGAGTTTGGACCGATTCTGCTAAATCTTCAGTCCCGGAACACCTCTCTTCAGAACTCGTAATTTCCTCCAAAAACCTATTTCTGCTTCGGTCTAAGCCTCTGATAGAACGGATGCTCCTCCTTCACCCTACTCCTCACCTTATACCCCTTTCCTTCCATCCCATACCCCTTCTCCTCATTCTCCTTATCCTTATCCTTCCTAAACCCATAACCTCACCCAAATACCTCAAATGTCATGACGAACAAACCTCCCTACTCTTCCTCGCTTTCCTCCCTATAAAATCCCCCTCAGCCACTTACTCTTACTCTTAACCGGATATCCACACAGCTTGAGGATATGGGAATAAGGCATTTTAGAAGTCTCCCTTCTCATGTTTAAAATTTTAAATTTTAAAATAACTATTTGTTATTTTTTAAGTGGGGTTTTGGGGTTTTGGGGTTTTGGGGTTTTGGGG